GTGTCTATGTGCACGCCTTTTTGCAGAAGCTTGGGAGAGGGGCCCGGGCCAGGCGACTGCAGATGTAGTCGTCTGGGTGGGCGGCTCTCGAAGCCTTCGTGAGGGACTTTGGGCGGTTCCTTTGGCCCGGTTCCTGAACTTCCTTCCCTGCCTCTCTGCCATTCAATCCCTTATGGCCGCTCTTCCAGTCCCTGCTCACAGGCTTGGCTACTAAGATTTGCTTTGCGCTCACTGCACCTTCCAGTTTCTGGCTAAGCACTTCACCTGAAGGGCAGGCATTACACTTACTTAATTCTGCAAGAGGACCTTCGCTTCTATTTTCCAGGTTGAGAAAGAGACTCACAAAGGGCTTTGGAATTTTACACGTGGCATGACAGTAGGATGGAATGGAAAGCCTGTGGGACTTGCTTTTAATTTGAACCACATTGGGGCTGGAGAGATGGCTCAGCGGTTAAGAGCACTGCTGCTCTTGCAGACGACCCCATTCGATTCCCAGCACCCAAACGGTGGCTCACAACCATATGAAAGGACAGTTCCAGGTGATTGATTGCCCTCTGGCCTCCAGGGCACAAAGATACCTGTAGGCAAAAACTCCCACATACTTGTTTTGTTTTTGAGTCGGTGTCTCTCTTTGTATCCCAGGCTGTACTGGAACTCTTCCTAGATCTGGTTGTCCTTGAACTCACAGAGATCATTCATCTGTGAAGTAGGCTTTGCAAGCCAGTTAGCAAGTTCTGTTACCGAATGACAATTTGTGTAAGATCCTTCACGGTCCCCCTACCCCAATCTAAACGTAAACCTGTCTGTAGAGGAATGATTGATTATCATTGCCAGTTTTGTTTTGTTTTGAGACAAGGTCTTACCTTGTAGCCGTGGTTGGCTTGGGGTTTGCTATATCGATCATTCTGGCCTTGAACTCACAGAGATCCTCTTGCCTCTGCTTCCCTGCTAGGATTAAAAGCATGTGCCACCTTGCCTGGCCTGTTTCCAGTTTTATAGCCTGACTTGGGTCCTGGGCTCAGAGACCAAATTGCTGAGGGTGTGTGGGGACCAATGGACCCTGCTCTGAGTTCTGGCAAGACTATAAGCCTCACTGTTGCGCCACCAGCACACCTGCAGCTCAGCCTCTGTTTCATACTGTCTGGAATTTGCCTGGCAAAGCGTGGGCTTGCTGAAACCACCTGAGGGAAGGCTTTGTGTTTGTTTTCATCTCCCAAGTAGTGCCACAAGGAGAGACACAATAGCAATGCTCAGTGAACATACTTCTGAAAGTCAGTTGTGTCTAGTTCTGTGCACACTTTTCCTGGAATGTCAAAATTTGTGTCTGTTCTCATTTCTCTCTTCAGACAAACAAAGATAGTAGGTGTCATGGCACATGCCTTTGATCCCAGCACTCGGGAGGCAGAGGTGGGTGGATCTCTGAGTTCAAGGCCAGCCTGGTCTACAGAGTGAGGTTCAGGCCAGCCAGGGTTATATACAGTGAGAGTGTCATAAAACAAAAGTGTGGAGAACTACAGGAGAGATTGACTTGATTCCTGATTGAATGTGTCTTGCTGACATGAGCATGGCCATGTTAAAGATCCCAGTGCCTCTGCCTCAGGTCTGTGTGAATGGCAAAACCTTACCTGGATGAGGATCAGGGAGGTGGAAAAGCCTTCCTCTGGTTTGAAGGTGAATATTGACAATGTGAAAAAAACGTCCACAGTAGTCCCCCCAGTCCAAAGACTGCTCCCCTACAGAGACTGTTCTACTGAGATGAATTAAACCTGCCTCCTTGTTTATCTGTATGTTTAATTTCCCTCTTCCACTCTGTATTATAAACAGCCTGAGCTTCCTGGGTGCTGTGCCTTCTACATCAGAGAGCCCAGCTCACCCAGTCCCAGCTTTTCCTGTACATGTGTGCGTCATTGTCATTCCTTCATCCCTCACTGCCCCTAGTCAGGGTTCCAGAACCCAAGCTGTGCAAGGATGACGTGAAGAAGTAAAGGTTATGGCCAGGCTAAAGGTGCAGGTGTGTCATCTCAGCCGCTTGGGAGGCTGGAGCTGGAGGATTGCAAGTTCAAGGCTTACCCAGACTATAGAGGTAGTTCACAGCTAGCCTTGGCAACCTAACAAGAACTTATCACCAAATGCAAAAGGCAAAACAAGGGCAGGGGAAACAGGTCAGTGATCGAGTGCTTGTCTAGCATGTGTTAGTTACTGGGCTCCAGCCCCAGTATTACAGACATGGGGGTTGGCAAGAGAGATGACTCATTGGTTAGGAGCACTTACTGCCCTTGCAGAGGATTCAGGTCCTAAGACCAGAGTTCAATCCCCATCACCCACACTGAGGCTCACAACTTTCTATAACAATTACAGGGTATCTGATGCCCTCTGCTGGCCTCTATGGGCACCTGCATGCATTAGCTCTTACACATAGACATGCTCATTAAAAAAATAAAACAGAAAAAGAGGCTGTGAACTCTCAAGACTGGAGAAGTTCTGTGCCCAAAGAGAAGTGGGCACTAACTGCATGGGTTCAGAGTTACTGGAGGAGGTTGGCCTGTGTGAGAAACTAGCCCAATCCCAACTCTGTATCAAATTCCTAACATTGTGCTAGGGTTAATCTCTTTCTGTTGGCAATGGTTCTGTAGTTGCATAAGACGCTAACTTATGGGGGAAACTGGGTTAACATAAGGGGAAGCAGGAACTGGATACTATTTTCACAAAACTTCTGTAAGTCAAAATTATCTCAAAATAGAAAGTAAAAAAATAAAAGCACAGGGAATAATGGCCATTTTGCTGGGCATAGTGGCACTAGACTCTGTCCTGATATATGGGAGGCAGAGGGAGGTGGATCTTTGTGAGTTCAAGACCAGCTTGGTCTACATATTGAGTTCAAGGCCAGCTAGGGCTGCATAGTGATACTCTGTATAAAAAAAAAAAAAAGTCAATTTTCACAACTGGCAAGATAGCTCAGCAGGTCAAAGCACTTGCCATGCACGCCTGATGATTTGTGTTCAATTCCCAGAATCCATACAGTGGAAGGAGAGACTGACTCCCAAAAGTTGTCCTCCAACCTCCACACGTACACATGGCACAGATGGCACAGAAGACAGGGACATCCGGGAAGGGGCAGGTTAAGACGTAGCCCCAAGGAGACCCTTCCAGCAGCCCACTTCCTTCCATCTCCCACCTCATACTTCCCAATACTGTCGGTCGGGAATCCATCTAGGGATTACTCTGTTGATTTAGGTCCAAGTCTTCATGACCTGATGGTCTCTGGAGACTGTAATGGATACCCACACTGTGGTGGTTTAAATGAGAATGGCCCCCACAGGCTCCTGTGTTTGAATAATTGGTCCCCAGTTGGTGGAACTGTTTGGGAAGGATTAGGAGGTGTGGCCTTGTTGCAGGAAGCCTCTCACTGGAGGTGGGCTGTGAGGTTTCAAAAGCCCACTCCAGGCTCAGTCTGATGCTCTCTCTGCCTCCCACCAGTGGATCAGGATGTAAGCTCTTAGCAGCTCCAACACCATGACTGCCTGCTGCTACCACACTCCCTGCCATAATGGCCACGGACTAAACCTCTGAAACTGTATGCAAGCACCCAGAAAATGCTTTCTCCAATGTTACCTTGGTCATGGTGTCTCTTCACAGCAGTAGAATGATAACTAAGACTGGTGTGGCCTTGTTAGAAGAGACGTGTCACTGGGGCAGGCTCTGAGATTTCAAAAGATGCCTGCTCTTCCCAATTTTCTCTCTGCCTCCTGCTTGTGGTTAAAGATGGAGCTCTCAATTGCTGCTGGAGACACTGTTGCCTCCTCTGCCATCATAAACTCTAATCCTCTGAGACTGCAAGCTCCAAATAAACTTTGTCTTTTATAAGTTTCCTTGGACATGGTGTTGGATCACAGCAATAGAAATGAACTAATACACTGACGCTTAGGTGGTTTTCGATTCATTTAAGTGCACACAAAACTTGCTACCCCAGTGTGGAGCAAAGACCTTATTTCCCTCAATTAAAGAGAGCATGAATATTTGAGATAAGGGACTACCTCAGTAGAAAACTGACAGGAGAGACTATCTTAGCTTCCCAGGCTTGCTGCATTGAAGAGTTACACATCACGACTGCCTTTCGCATCTTCCAGGCCTCCCCCAAGCCCCATCAGGCTCCTGGGTGGTGGTATTGTGTTCCCCAAAATATTGTGCACCCTAATAAACTTATCTGGGGTCAGAGACAGAACAGCCACTAGATACAAAGGCTAGAAAATGGTGGCACTCACACCTTTAATCCTAGCATTCCAGAAGCAGAGATCCCTCTGGATCTCTGTGAGTTCAAGGCCACTTTAGAAACATCCAGGCATGGTGACACACGCCTTTAATCCCAAGAAGTGAGCCTTTCTACCACCAGGGAGTGGTGGTAGAAAGCAGAAAGGTATATAAGGCGTGAGGACCAGGAACTAGAAGCATTTGGCCTGGTTAAGCATTTGACTGGTTAAGCACTTGGCTAGTTAAGCTTTCAGGCTACAAGCAGCAGTTCAGCTGAGATTCATTCTGGATGAGGACACAGAGGCTTCCAGTCTGAGGAAACAGGACCAGCTGAGAAGTTGGCCAGGTGAGGTTAGCTGTGGCTTGTTCTGCATCTGATCTACCAACATTCACCCCAATAACTGGTCTCAGGTTTGATTTTATTAATAAGAACTTCGAAGATTCATGCTACACTCCTGGGTGGTGGAGGAGAATCCATTCTGTTGGTTTTAAATACAGCACTTGTTACCATTCGAGAAAGGTCACGAGGCACAACAAAACCAAGTATCAGAGCTTTATTGGGTGGGGGAGACAGAAGAGAGTGACCAGGCCTGTGAAAGACACGTGCAGGGAGAGAGCGAGTGGGGAGGAGGAGCGAGCAGAAGGGAGGGGAGGAGTCTGTGTCCGGCTTTTTAAGGATTCTCCTGCACATGCACCTGTGGGCTTACGGAGCTACGCCACGCATGCGCATATTGTGCAACCACGCTGTGCACATTATGTAATCACGCATCACACAGATGATGTAAGACCCTTTGTTTAACTACTGAACTGTGCAAGTGTGGTCATGCAGCTGGAGGAGCAGCAGAATTCTAACATTCAAGACTTTTTGCTTATTATAAAAAAGGTGGGTGGACAGGAACAGGGGTGTCGTTTCTCCCAAAAAAACTGCTTCCAGCTGACTTGGTGGGCGTCAGTTGACTCTTGGGGGGTTTGGGAAGGGGGCTTCTGAGGTAGACAGGCGTCCTGGGGTTGTCTGCTGCTCTGGGAATCATCTGACAAAGTGCTGTCCAGGTGGATTCAAGCTGGTTCCACAGCTCGCTGACTTGTCCAGGTAGATTCTCTGGAGCTCAGAAATCTGGAGCTTAATATGTTTAATTTTAAACATATTAAGAAGCAGCCATGGGAAAATTAAAGTCTTGGGCTGGTGACCATAACATTGTAGTGTTTAGTACTCTGCTTATATTGGTTAGTGAGAGAGAGAGAGAGAGGTGGGGGGGGGAGAGAGAGAAAGAGATTTGGAACATGCTTTTAACTTTTACCTGAGATAAGCCTTATCAGAGACAGATTATTTTAAGGCACCTGTTTCCTTTATTAGTTTAGCATCCAGGAGATACAGGTGATCAATTGCGGAGAGCATTTAACAATAATAGATTGTTATATTAAAGTCTGTTTTTGCAGAGCCCAGACCCTTTGGGGTCTGGGGGGTGTAAATACCTTTGGATTGCTACTGTTCCTTACTGCCTGGGTATATACTTGATGGTCCTTGGACTCCAGCTCTATGGTGATCCTGTAACAACTGGCTGAGTAGTTAATTAGAAGAGGGAACCAGGAAGAGAAAAGCTTGTGGGGCAAAACCTCATTCTTCTGGAATTGGTGACAAGGCAGTGGATCCTGATGTCCTCTGGGACTTGAGAGAGAGCAGGGCCCTGTCTGTGGCACTGTGCATGAGGAGGAGAAGCACTGCTGACCGGTCTGGAGTGAGGCACATGGAGAGAGCAAGTGAAACGAATGCTCCTACCTTAGCTGGAAAATCTCTTCCCATTAGGTACCCCTGAAAGCACAGTTAAGTGGTGGGGGTCTGGTGAGGTGGGTAAGGCTGTCCCCTACCCTGACAATAGGGAAATGAGAAGGAGAGGTGGGACCCCAAAACTCCCTCAGGACTGATTAAGTGGCTCGGTGTCCAACAGGAAGGAAATGGATCGCCCCATGCTGCATCCTGGGTTCCCTGTGAGCCCATGGCCAAGCCTAGGAGGTCTGCTGGAGGTCTTTGAAGTCCCCATGCCACGAGGTGCACGAGGGCAGTCAGTTGACCAGTATTCCTCTCTAGGTGGCACTTTTGAACAAAGCTCCAGCGTGGTCTTTTCTAGCACACATTTAAAACAGGGACCTGGAAGCACTTATGCAGCAGCTGCTCGGATAGCATGTGCCAGCATCCGAGGTCATGGCACCAATGTTGTTTTTAAAATACGGTGCTTGTTACAGTGTGAGAAAGGTCACGAGACACGACAAAACTCAGTATCAGAGCTTTATTAGGTGGAGGGGAGGGGACAGAAGAGAGTGACCAGGACTGTGAAAGACACATGGGGGCGGGGAGCAGAAGAGAGAGGAGGAGTCTGTGACTGACTTTTTAAGGATTCTTCTGCACATGCGCCTGTGGGCTTACGGAGCTATGCCACACATGCACAGATTGTGTGACCACTCTGCGTGCATGATGTAATCACGCAGCAGCGTACAGATGATGTAAGACCCCTTGCTCAGCTACTGGACTGTACATGTGCGGTCAATGCAGCTGGAGGAATGGCAGAATCCTAACACATACTGCTTCCTTCCTAAGCTCTGGTCTGCTGCCCATGATGAAAATCCTGAGCCCCTGTGGACGCCCAGCCCAGGCTGATAGTGAAGGTCTGCCCAGAGTTTTCCTGCCCCAGGACCCAGCACGCCCACTGGGGCTCAGGGACTGGGGCAGCAGCTACAGCTTCCCCCCAGCAGCTCCAGCCTTGCATGTGGGGACTGTCCTTGACCTTGCACAGGATTGGGCAGAACCCCTAGGTGCAAGTCAGAGATCCTCAGCTCTGCTGCAGCCCAAGGGTGTGGCTCCAGGTCACAAGGGATTCAGTGGTGGACACACATTGTGGGTATGAAGACCTGAGGGCTCCTGCCAGAACGTGTCTTGCCTGTGTGAGTCACAGGCAGACCAGGTGGACTTGGAGGATCCATGTTCTGAGAAGCTCACTGTTAGTGGGGGGACCCTGGAGACAAGCGGAAGTGTCACGTTGCTGACAATACTCCAGCAGAGGAGGGTTCAGGAGGGCGTGTTAGGCAGCGCTCCACCGAGGTGCTCAGAAAAGCAAGGCAAAACTTCGTAACACGGGGAACAGCACTGCAAGACAACAGAGGCACAAGGGGACAGCGGCCAGGTCCAGCTGCGGGAGGGCTCCTGGGCTGTGCATGGAGTTGTTGGGGAAAGGGAATAGCCTCCTGTGCTGCAGCCCTGGACAGGGCTGCATGGGTGTGGATGTGGGAAGGGCGTACTGGAAGGTAATGAGGTCTCAGCAAAAGCAAGAAGTTGAAGCTGCAGTTACCACAGGCCACTGAACCAGACTGGTTATCTTACTTCATCACTACCTAGCCAGGCTCTATGCTTAACCCAGTAGGCAGTAGTAGGCAGCAAGATGGGTGTTTGGGTTGCTTCAGTGGCCAGTCTTTCCCTGGTCTGGACAGCACAGGGTGTGTACAGTTGCTGTGACCTCACTCTGCCACCATCCAAATCTTGGTCGCTCAAGAGGTGGGTTTGCTCAACTGTAAAAGCTAAGCAGGATGCTGCTGCCCCCTCCTGGCCACAGGGCAGACTTTGGTCCCTTCCTGAGAGCAGGTATAAGGTATGTATGTGTGTGTGTGTGTGTGTGTGTGTGTGTGTGTGTGTGTATGTACGTATGTATGTACGTATGTATATGTGTTGGAAATCAAAGCTGCATCCTCTGGTAGAGTAGCCAGTGCTCTTCACCGCTGAGCAACCTCTTCAACCCAGTAAGGTGCCTTCACCTCCATCTTCACTTGCCAAGAGGCCTGACGTCCCCCTCTATAAAATGGTCACGAATTAAGATCTTCCTGGAGGGCCCATGAGTTGCACCTCATGAGCAAGCCAGGCTCCACAGCTCTCCTAAAGTAACCCATCCCAGTGCTTGTACAGGGCAGCCAGAGGACCCGAGACAACCTGTCCCTTCCTTGTGTGAACAGAGTCTCAGTGCAAAGGTCTCTGTAGTGTGCTGACAGTGAGGCTGGGTGCCAGTGTTCACCTCAACCCGTGGTGCTCTTTGGCCAGAGTGGCTGTGGGACAGGCAGAGAGAGGCGGGTGGCCCCGGTCTGCAGGGGTACTGTTCTGACAGGAGACAAGTTCCCAGTGCCAGGTACCCCCAAGCTGAGGGCTCTCACCTTCCCTGCTGTGTCCCCCAAGCCTGGGAGATTTAGTGGAGAGCTTGGGTAGTATCCTTGTCTTTGCTGACTTCATGCCCCAGAGAATGGTCTTTGGGATCACCAGTTAGACTGTCGGCCCCAGGAAGCCCCAATAGCCTCCTCTTGACTCCCTTCAGAGCCTAGGGGTTGCTGACGCTAAGACCCCAGTGGAGAGAGCAGGGGCCATAGAGACTAGCATGGACTCAAAGCCACAACCCTGAGGCCACCACCCTCCTCTGACTTCTCAGGGACAGCTTCCTGTCCTGTCACTGCTGCCAGGTCTATCCTCAGGATGCCTATGAGGTAGAATGTGTCTTGCAGAAAGGCTCGGGGAGAGCGACCCACTCCAGAGTGCTATGACTCTGTGCACAGTGTTCCACTGGATCACACCCTGGTCTGGGTCCTTTCGCTGCATCTCCCCACGGATGGGTCCCTGTCCACACCCAGCCAGCCAGCTGCTCCTGGCCCCAGACCTGGAGGCATCGATTGGTGATGCCATGCCCCACCTACTCCCAGGTCACATAGATCACCACATAGGTCACCAGATCAAGCCCAGAACGTCAGGCTTGGCAGCAAACACCTTTACCCATCAAGCTGTCTCAGCGGTCCAAGGACTAGCTCGTTTTCTGTGCTTTTGTGTATTTGTGGAAGGAGTGGAAATGGGGGACGTGCATGCCATGGCACATGTGTGGTCAGAGGACATTCTTCTACTGTGTGGGTCCTGGAGATGGAACTCAGCTTGTCAGCCTTGGCAGCAAGTGTCTGTACCTGCTGAGCCAGCTTGCTGCCTCTGCGTTCTGCATTTAAATATTTAAAAAAAGACTTATCTATTTTTATTTTATATGAATGGCTATTTTGCCTACATGGATGTCTGTGCACCATGTGTGTGCCTGGTGCCCAGGGAGTCACAAGAAGGCATCAGATCCCCTGGAACTGGAGTTACAGATGATTGTAAGCAGCCATGTGGGTGCTGGGAATCAAGCTCCAGTCCTCTGGAAAGAGCAGTCAGTCCTCCTGACCATTGAACCATCTCTCTATCCCCACATTCTACATTTTGAATAGAGTTTTGCTAAGTTGCCCAGGCAAGCCTTGAACTTGTGATCCTTCTGCCTCAGCTTCCTGAGTAGGTAAATTATGGGTCTGTACTACCACCTAGCTAAGCAGGATATGATTATTAGGATATTTTTTCTTCTTTTTTAAAAATTTATTTATTTTTATTTTATGTGCATTGGTGTTTTGTCTGCATGTATGTCTGTGTGAGGGTATTGGATCCCCTGGAACTGGAGTTACAGACAATTTTGAACTGCCATGTGGGTGCTGGGAATTGAATCCAGTCCTTTGGAAGAACAGCCAGTGCTCTTAACCACTGAGCCATCTCTCCAGGCCCTGGCCATTTCTTTTTCTTAAATTTCTTTAAAAATTAAATTTAGTGGTAGTTTGAATGCTAAATGTCCCTTATAGTTTTAGGCATTTGAATACTTGGTCCCCAGTTGATGGCATTATTTGGGGAGGTCTAGGAGATGTGGCCTTTCTGGAGGAATTATATCATTGGAGGTGGGCTTTGAGGTCTCAAAGCCTTGCACTATTCCTAATTCACTCTCTCTGCTTCCTGTTTGTGGTTCAAAATGTGAGTCCTCAGCTTCCTGCTCCTGCTGCATGCCTTGGCTCCACAGTTATGAACTCTAACTCTCTGGAACCATAAGCCCAAATTAAACCCTTCCTTTTATAAGTTGCCTTGGTCATGGTATTTTTATCACAGCAAAAGAAAAGTAACTAACATTTTAAAATTTATCTTATTTTAAATTATGTGTCTATGAGAAGGGTTGTGCATGTGAGTGCGGGTGCTTAAGGAAGGCCAGAGGCATTGGTTCCCCTGGAGCTGGTCTTATAGACAGTGGTGAGCCATCTGGATGTGGGCACTGAAGGAGCACCAGGTACTCTTAACTTCTGAGTCATGTCTCCAGCCCCTACATTTATCGTGTGTGTGTGTGTGTGTGTGTGTGTGTGTGTGTGTGTGTGTGTGTGTGCTCGCGCACGCGCGCGCACATATATGCATGTTACAGCATGTGGGTGGGGCAGAGGACAGCTTCTGAGAGTTTGTTCTTGCATGCCACCAGATGGGGCCTGGGAACTACGCTCGGGTCACCAGCCTTGGTGGCAAGCACTGCTACTCACTGAGCCATTTTGCCAGCTGTACAGGACATTTCTGTTGTCTCTTTCTGTCTACAAAAATCTCACCTTTTTTTATGTGTTGAAGTGTGATTTATAACTCTCAAGTGCTTGCTTCATTCTCTTGCCAGGGTCCCAAACATGCTTAGGCCACATAGTGACCTACTTGATGGAGGCTTTCCCAGTTGTAGCCTCAAAGTGCCACATTCCAGGAGCATATCAGTCCTAGACAACACAGGGTGGCTCACCATCCAAAATAAGAGTGTAGCCGGGTGGTGGTGGCACATGCCTTTAATCCCAGCACTCGGGAGGGAGAGGCAGGTGAATCTCTATGAGTTTGAGGCCAGCCTGGGCTACAGAGCAAGTTCTAGGGTAGCCAGGGCTACAAGGAGAACCCTGTTTCTAGGGCTGGAGAGATGGCTCAGCAGTTAAGAGCACTAGCAGAGGTCTTGAGTTCAATTCCCAGCACCCACATGGTGGCTCACAACCATCTGTAATGGAACCTGGTGTCCTCTTATGGCATGCAGGCATACATGCAGGCAGAATACTGTATACATAATAAATAAATCTTATTAAAAAAAGGAACTCTTTTTTTTCTTTGTTTATTCAGAGCTGAGGACCGAACCCAAGGCCTTGCGCTTGCTAGGCAAGCACTCTACCACTGAGCTAAACCCCCAACCTAAAAAAAGAAAGAAAGAGCCAGATGGTGGTGGCACACACCTTTAATCCTAGCACTCAGGAGGCAGAGCCAGGTGAATCTCTGTGAGTTCGAGGCCAGCCAGGTCTACAGGGTGAGATCTAGGACATGCACCAAAACTGTACAGAGAAACCTTGTCTTGAAAAAACAAAAAAACAAAAACGAAAGAAAGAAAGAAAGAAAGAAAGAAAGGAAGGAAGGAAGGAAGGAAGAAAGGAAGGAAGGAAGGAAGGAAGGAAGGAAGGAACCCTGCCTCGAGACAAACAAACAAACAAACAACAAATAAACAAAAAGAGTGTAAGTGAGGAGAGGTGGAATGGAGGCGGGCAGTGGTGTGGCAGGAGAGCTTCAGAGAGCTATGTGGACATATGTGCCTTGGAACTGCTTGATAATTAAAGGTCAAGGATGTGGCCGTCACTGCCCCATCAGCCTCGGCCCTGAATGGGTGGCCTTGCTGTGTAGAACACTTTCCTGGCCTGGCACAGCTACTGCTGCAATCACCCTCTGCATTAGTCCCTTTTCTGGTCCCTGACTTGAAGGCTGACAGGAAAACACCTGACAGAAGGGACAGTTTATTTGGGCTCATGGTTCAGTGACGTAAGTCCATCATGGCAGGAAGGCATGATGGTAGATGGTAAGGCATTGTGGTACTATGGCTGGTCACATTGTGTCCACAGTGAGCAAACAGAGACAGGAATACTGGTCTGCTGTTCAACCTGTTTTCTCCTTTTTATGCAGTCCAGGATCCCAGCCCATGGCTCATGCTACGTTTCCTGGAGCAGGTGTTGCCCTATGACCCTCTGGCCAGCACGGACAAACCCTTTAACAAATACCAGACTTTGTAGGGATTAACCTTTGCCATCCTAGTGTGCAAACAGAGATATCTGGGTCAGCTCCATGTCCTTGTCTTGAAGTGGGCCTGTGAACATTAGGAGCTGTGCCCATTTCCTGGGGCAGATTCCCATTAAATTAGGCATCAAGATGTGGCAGATCATGTTCCTGAAGAGGGCTCCAGGGGGGTCCTTCTGCCTTGCCAGGCTCCAGGCGCCAGTACTCTAGTACTCTTCTTTCTGCCTCTTCTCCATGGAGGCATCTGTCCTCTGCCTGTCTCTAACTGCTCTCTGTCTGTATTGGGGTGACTGTTGTTATTTTTGACAGCCTGTAACAGCTGAGCCATCACTCCAGAGCCGGGCTGGCAGGGTGACACCAGCAGTCACAAGTGTGTCTGGGGCTCTGTAAGCCACAGCATCCTCCTTCACGGAGCTGAGAAGCACCCATTCCATACGAATGCCCAGTGAGCACTGTCTTAGGGTTTTTATTGCTGTGAAGAGGCACCATGACCACTGAAACTTTTTTTCTTTTTTTTTGGTTTTTTCGAGACGGGGTTTCTCTGTGTTGTTTTGGTGCCTGTCCTGGATCTGGCTCTGCAGACCAGGCTGGCCTCGAACTCACAGAGTCTGCCTGGCTCTGCCTCCCGAGTGCTGGGATTAAAGGCCTGTGCCACTGCTGCCCGGCTGACCACCACAACTCTTATAAAGGAAAACATTTCATTGAGGTCACTTATATTTCAGAGGTTCAGTCCATTATCGTGGTGGGGAGCATGGCAGCATGCAGGCAGACATGGTGCTGGAGAAGTAGCTGACAGTCCTGTATTTCTCAGGCATCAGGAAGTCGACTGAGACACTGGGCAGTATCCTTAGCATAGGAAACCTCAAAGGCCACCCTGACAGTGACACACTTCCTCTAACAAGGCCACACCCACTCCAACAAAGCCACACCTCCTAATAGTGCCACTCCCTTTTGGATGCATTTTCTTTCAAACCACCATAAGCACCCATTCCTCAGAGCTGGCATCAGACACTGTTGCCTGGCAACCTGCACCCAGAACTGGCAAAGGGAAGTTTCAGTGGGCACTGGAAGGCTTTGGTGGGTCAGCACGGTCTTTGAACTGGCTGGGATGAAAGGCTTGGACTGATTTTCCCCTCTGAGCCTTAGTTTCTTCATTCCCACAGTGGAACTGGAGCAGTGGCATCTAGTGGACATATCATAGTGCTGATTCAAGCCTCAAGACTATGAAGCTTGTAACTCAGGTTTACCACAGACCCAAGACTGGACAGAGGGTAGATGGACCAATGCTCCCTCCCCAAACACCCCCTCCTTTTGTTGTTACTTGACTTTGGGGTTATTTGTTTTGAGACAGGATCTCTTGTCACCCAGGCTGGCCTTAAACTTATTATGTAATTGAGGATAACCTTGAACCTCAGGTCCTTCTGCCCCCACTTCCTGAGTATTGGGGATTATAAGCACATGCCTCCATGCTGCATTTATGAAGTGCCAGAGAAGCTGGGTGGTGGTGGCATACACCTATCTATAATCCCAGCACTCGGGAGGCAGAGGCAGGTAGATCTTTGAGTTCAAGGCCAGCCTAGTCTACAGAGTAAGTTCTAGGACAGTCAGCTACTCAGAGAAATCCTGTCTCAGAAAAAAATAAAAATAAAAAGTACCAGAAATAGAACCCACAGCCTAATGAATGCTAAGTAAGCGCTCGACCAACTGAGCTACCCCAGCCTCAGCCCCTGCTTCTCCCTCCAGAAGTGAGTCATCCGTCCTTCCTGACTCTGAGACTGTTGTTTTAGCCTCATCATTCAGAGGTGGAGGATCTTGCCTCATTCAAAGCAACTATTTCATTCTCATTACAAGCTAAGGAGGAGATGTACCTGAGTGGGTGCTTCTCAGCTCCGTGAAGGAGGATGCTGTGGCTTACAGAGCCCCAGACACACTTGTGACTGCTGGTGTCACCCTGCCAGCCCGGCTCTGGTGCTTGGAATGGCTTGGTCAGCGGTTTCTGCCTGGGAGGGGAACCAGAGACACGGAGACACGACTCCCCGACGGTCCTATGAGGCCCCAGGTTGAGCCCTGTCCCCGGAAACGATTAGATAGGACAGGTGCTGGCCTTCATTACTTCCCCAGGTTGGAACTTGCATCTGAGGACCAGGCTAAGGGTGAGAACTACCAAACACCAGACCTGAGAGAGTGCGTCACCGTCAGGAGCTGTGGCAGGCGACCTTCCAGGGAAGTTGGAGCTTAGCACGTTCTCTGATTGCATACTGTGTTATTAAAGGGTCTAAAAATGGCTGACCCTGTGATGTCACAAGTCTGCAGGATGAAATAGCGATGAATTCTGATGTGTTCTTTGGATTTTTCTGAAGGTCCAAATTGGAGTCTGGCCACCTGCAACTGCCCTGATGTGATTTGGGAGCCAGAAGCCTCAATCTTCCACTTGGCAACCATTGGCTATTTCTTGATATCCTGAAGGTGTGTGTGTGTGTGTGTGTGTGTGTATTTCTACTTCTAACCACTAATAATTAACTGATATTGGATCTTCTACTTCTCCAAATCCCTTATACATGTAGTTTTAGTTTTTGAAAATTTTATGTTTATGTGTATTGATGTTTTGCCTGTACGTATGTCTGTGACAATACGTGTGCCTGATATGGTGGAGGCCAGAAGAGGGCATTGGATTCCTTGGAACTGGAGTTACAGATGGTTGTGAGCTGCCATGTGGATACTAGGAATAGAACCTGGGTCTTCTGGAAAAGAGCAGCAAGTGCTCTTAACTGCTGAGCCATCTCTCTAGCCCCTTTATTTCAGTTTTTGAGATAGGGTCTCACTATATTGCTGGGGTCCACCCTCAGCTCAGGTTCCGTCCTGAGACAGGGAAGGGGCTTCAGCGCAAGGAAGAAATCTGACCACCAGGTGGATTACACTCCAGTGGCCCCGAATAGCTCAAGCCATCTTTATTTCTACTTAAACAGAGTTTTTTCTACCAGGCTTACATGAACAGTCTTATTTTTGGCTCCTATTTTTGACTTTTAAGAAATACATCATATTTTAAGAAATACATCGTAATCATTATAAAAGTCCCCATTGTTCCCCTTTATGCTTCCCCAAATACACTTTCCCACCCCCTGCACAACCTTATTCTAGACACAGAGCTCAGCATTTTTGCAGACACATCCTGCTCTCACAGCACTTATGTCAGCTGGCGGCTACTGAGGTTACAAAGTTAAGAAGTAATAGACATGGGCACAGTGCTTTAAGGACAAGGATATTCAAACCCAGATAGTTCCTTCATGTCTGCAAGATATGCTTTTACTAGTTCCTTTTCTACAAGAGGGCCCCATGTCTCGATCTCTCTGTAAGAGGCAGACTTTGGTAAGGCACTCTTTTCCCATCTTACTACACCATACTTCTCCCACCAACACAAGCTCCTGGGTGTGGTAAGATGGATGTATTCATCCCATGTTTTATGTTTCATTTTCCCCATTGGATTATACTAGATCCTATCATTGATTTTATATGCGTGGTGTCCGGGGAACTTACTCTCAAGAGTTGGCCCTATGTGTGTCCCTGAGGGTTTTTCCCTATTTTGTGTGTGCATGCCTTACTCCCCTTTCCAGAACCGTGAGACATGGTGGATGTTCCAAGTGTTGTTATCTCATATGTACCTAACTGTCTCTATTGAGTCAGAAAAGTTCCCAGGATTAGGAGTTGTAGTTAGTAATTCCACGTAAGAGATTTGAGAAGCATAGGCCCCTGCTGAATCTTAGGGGAAAATATTTGAGAAAGAGCAGAACTTCCAGGGAAAACAACAGCTGTTGCATGTGTGACTGACAAAGTAAAACTAAAAACCACCCAAAGAATCAACAACAAAGAGAAAAGAACTTGGAAGCTGCACGAATTTTGCAAATTCCTTTGCTGTCCTGTGTGTAGCTGATGTATTTCTGTGTCCGCCTGGCTCCTGCAGCCATTCAGACCTAAGTAAACACACAGAGACTTATATTACTTATAAACTGTATGGCCGTGGCAGGCTTCTTGCTATCTAGTTCTTATATCTTAAATTAACCCATTTCTATTAATCTAGAAGTTGCCACGTGGCTTGTGGCTTACTGATACTTTACGTCTTTCTTCTCATGGCAGTGACTGGCAGTCTCCTGACTCAGCCTCCCACTTCCCAGCATTCTCCTCTCTGCTTATCCCACCTATACTATACTTCCTGCCTGGCTACTGGCCAATCAGGATTTTATTTATCAATCAATCAGAGCAACACATTCACAGCATACAGAGCAACATCATCCCCCCCCCCCCGCCCCGCCCATCACCTGTGGTTTGTTTACTGGTCCTTGCCAAGTGAGAATTTGTTTTCATGGGTGCCTTACCCCGAAGAAATGTGTTAGACAGGTAGTCATAATGCTGACCCAAGACTAGGCTACAGGGCTCCCAATGCTATATAGTCCTGGTTAGCCTCAAACTCATAGAGATCCACCTGCATCTGCCCCCTAAGTGCTGGGAATAGAGATGTGTACCATCACATCCAATTTATTTTAAAATTAATTTATTTATTCATTGCATGTGTGTGTACGCAGGTACGTGCACATGTGCTTATGTGCTCTGTCTGGTGTGTTGTGTAACATTTTCTTCAAGATTGAAATATTCAGCCGGGCGGTGGTGGCGCACGCCTTTAATCCCAGCACTCGGGAGGCAGAGCCAGGCGGATCTCTGTGAGTTCGAGGCCAGCCTGGGCTACCAAGTGAGTTCCAGGTAAGGCGCAAAGCTACACAGCGAAACCCTGTCTCGAAAAACAAAAAAAAACAAAAAAACAAAAAAAAAAAAAAGATTGAAATATTCTACCCTGCAGGGCTGCTCCTTAAGTAGGAAGGTAAACAACTCAAAATAACTTCAGAAAGTCCCTGGAACCGACCATATTCACTAGGTTTTGTGGCAGTTTGAATGTAATTGGCCCGCATAAGATCATAGGGAGTGACACTATTAGGAGGCATGGCTGTGTTGCAATAGGTGTGGCCTTATTGGAGGAAATGTGTCAACGTGCGGGGTGGGCTTTGAGGGCTCAGATATGCTTAAGCCATGCCCAGTGTCCCAGACCATTTCCTGTTGCCTGGAGGTCAAGATGTAGGACTCTCAGCTCCTTCTCCAGCACTATGTCTGCCTTCAGGCCACCATGTCCCACCATGATGACAATGGACTAAACCTCTGAAAAGGTAAGCCATCCCAATTAAATGATTTTCCTTTATAAGAGTTGCTGTGGCTGGGCAGTGGTGGCGCACGCCTTTAATCCCAGCACTCGGGAGGCAGAGCCAGGCGGATCTCTGTGAGTTCGAGGCCAGCCTGGGCTACCAAGTGAGTTCCAGGAAAAGGTGCAAAGCTACACAGAGAAACCCTGTCTCGAAAAACCAAAAAAAAAAAAAAAAAAAAGAGGTGTTGTGGTCATGGTATCTCTTCACAGCTACAGAAACCCTAAGACCTCTCTGCCATAATATGCGACAAAAGCTGAGAGTCTGTCTCAGAGGAATAGGGCCAAGCTGCAAAGAAGACTCTGAGGCCAGACCGGCTGCCTGGAAGCAGAAGCCAGCTGAACTCTCTGGAAGAGGTTTAGGACAACTGAGGCACCTGGAAAAGGACTCTCCAGCCTGGTGAGCTGCCTGCAGGCTGTGCAGTGTGCTCCAGGTTCCCAGCTTTGTGAGCCGCCACCGTGCTGGGGTGGGCTTTGGTGACGCAGCTGTCCCTGAGTCATTTCTGCTCCTATAGGTAACCCCTCACCCATATCCCTGTAAGTGACCCCAATAAAACTCAGGGTTTGCCAAGCTGGACTTTGATGGTGTCTCTACTTTGGTCTGTCGTGGGCTCCCTATCTGGGGTGAGTAGACACATGTCTCACCAGGAAAAGTGTTGCTCCACAACACAGTGTGTGCCTATGCTACAGCACACATGTGGGAGTCGGAGAACAACCTGTGGGAATCTGTCTTCTCCCCCTTCTATGTGGGTCACAGGGATTGAACACAGGCCATCAGGCCTAGCGGCAAGCGTCCCCACCAGCTGAGCCATCTCACTGGTGTGCCATTTCCAAGTCTGGAACTTGGCTTTGGACTTTGAACCATCCCTTACTGCAGTAGTCCCCCTCTGCTCTCTCTATAGCTAGTGCCCTCAGCAAGGCTCTTCTTGAAGAACCCACTACAGCCCCTCACATCCCCAGCTCCCAGCCTGCAACCCAGATGCCTCTGGGATGCCTCTGCTGGCCTGTCCTGTTAATAGAGACTTGGGGTCTGTGGGCCAGAAACAGTGGAAGGGCAATGGCACACGAGTGTGGGTGGGTGCACAGCCTTGGGCTTGGATGCAGAGCACAGAGGCTCGTGCTAGCAGAGAGAGGACGGGCTGGGCCTCGGGAGCCTGGAGGACACGGGAGCCTGGAGGACACGGGAGCCTGGAGGACACAGGTGCCTGGCATTCTTGGTGAGACGGAGGTGGGATTCAGCTGTGGTGGGTGGCTGTGGAGAGCAAGATGGAGAGAGGGAATCTATAATAGAGCACTTGGGCTTGAAGGCTGGACAGAGTCTGACCCAGGGTTCCAGCAGCCCGGCCCAGGGCAAGGCGGAGGTGCCATTTCTCATCCTGTTTGGGACACCACCTCCCATCTGGGCCTGGATTTGTTTCCTCAGCGTCCGTTCCAAGCCTGTTCGGCACTCAGGGGGCTCCTTGAATCAAAGGGAAATCAGAACTCTTGTTTCCATGGCTCATTTAATGGACATTTATTATTTATTGAACACCTACTACGTGCCTGGCCCTGGCCCAGGCCCAGGCCACTAAACAGACAAATCTTGGCATATCTGCTATAATGGAAGAAAGAGAAAGAAGTAAACACATACCTGTTAAGTGGCAGCTGGTAGAGGAGAAGCAGTCTGTGTTGGCAAGGGTGGGCGACAGGGTGGGGGGAAGCGTCAGTGTGGTTTTCAGGAACTAAATGGGATGAGAGAGCCCAGCAGAGAGGCCCTCCTTCAGGCAGGAGTGTGCTTGCCCGGTGTCTCTGCAAGGGGCCAGCAGCCGGGGAGATAAAGTTGAGAGGTAAAGGAGGTGCGGGTAGGTCAGGCTGTGGAGAGCCCCAAGGCTCCTGCTTCTTCTCTGCTTGGAAGGGAGCCTCAGCAAGCTGCTGAGGGCAAGGTGGGATCTGGCTTATTTAACACGCTCGCTGGTGATTTAACATGCCGTGAGAGGAGGCCAAGGAAAACCAAGGCTGAAAGTGGAAGGCCTTGAGGTGGAACGGGGGTGAGAGTGGGGTAGAGAAGCCGGTGTGTGTTCTGAGTTGAAGAGGGGGTGGGGGTGGGGCTTGGGTGAGCAGGAACCAGCAAGGACACTGGCTGCTCCAGGCCCTGCAAAGGCCCTCCAAGGCCTCTGGAGACCTCCTGACTCCTCTTCAGGTCTCAGGTTGGATACAGCCACCCTAGGAGACTGCTCTCCCTGCACCACCGGCCTGCTTCCTCATTAAAACCTCTGCCTTGACACTTGGGACTTGGGCCCTGGCTTGACTCTCCTTGACAGACCCCTCCCCCACGAGCTGCTCCTTGGTCTTCAGGGTTTCCTGTCAGAAGACAAGTCTTGGGAGTCGGTTCTCTTCTTCCACTGTGGGATCCTAGGATTGAACTCAGGTCAACAGGAGCCATCTTGCCGGATGACCTTGAACTTCAGTTTGATCACCCGGCCTGTGCTACGCCTTTCGGGTTTGTGCAGAGCTGAGGGTGGTGACTGATAGACCCCAGACTCAGGGCACTATCCTCTCAGGTGGGTGCCCCAGAAACCCGGACTCCAGACCAGTTGATGCAATCACATGAGGCTTTATTTAAATCGTTTGCGCAAACGGACCCCCCCTACACAATTCAGTGAGAGGAGCCCTGAACAATAATTGCAGGCATCTTTTAAAGGCGAAAACCATAATATTAGCATAGCATTCGGGGCAATACATAATTGGCTAGTTTAAAGATCAGTATCGGGAAGGGGTGTATAGCCATGGGGACTTTCCATGGGGGCTGTTTTTTTTCCTAGAATAGCCACAGGAGGTTCTGCTAGACCCAGACAATGTCACAAGGTTATTCTGTTGATGCCATAAGAAACATCACAAGAACGTTTCTGCTGAAGCTAACAGTTTGGGGGGTCTGGGACTGGTGCTTGTTCCTCTTTTTTTTTTTTTTTTTTTTTTTTGGTTTTTCGAGACAGGGTTTCTCTGTGTAGCTTTGCGCCTTTCCTGGAACTCACTTGGTAGCCCAGGCTGGCCTCGAACTCACAGAGATCCGCCTGGCTCTGCCTCCCGAGTGCTGGGATTAAAGGCGTGCGCCACCACCGCCCGGCGTTCCTCTTTTCTAATGCTCTGCTGAGGCTGTGGGGTTGGGGGTCTGAGACTGAGGCTCTGCTGAGGCTGTGGGGTTGGGGGTCTGAGACTGAGGCTCTGCTGAGGCTGTGGGGTTGGGGGTCTGGGACTGAGGCTCGTTCCTCTTTTCTAAAGTTTAACTCTTTCAGTGTTGAACCCAGGTCCTTGGGTCCACGCTAGGCAATCAAGGACTCTATGAATGCTTTTTAAACAGAGTCTCGCTGTAGCCCAGGCTGGCCCTGCACTCATGGCATTCCTCCTGCCTCAGTCTCTCAAAGCTGGGGTTACAGGCCTGAGCACCATCGCTCATGCCTGTTTACCTGCTTGTTTGAGCTCTTATTTTGGATTGGCTCTTTCTAGCATAAGCCACAGGAAGGCAGCTGCTCCTTCCTGACCCCTGGCTTTATGAGGTCACCTCAGGTACTGGGTACCCAGGTATGTTCTTCCTCTCTCCCTGCAAGGTGGACACTGCCATTCTCACTTTATAAGGACATGAAGAGATCGCACCTAGATTTGCCCAAGGTGTGAGGTTCTGGAAAGCCTTGCTGGAGAGGAGGCTCAGCAGTTAGAAGCACTTACTACTCTAGCAGGGATCCCGTTCGGTTCTCTGCATCCACATGGTGGCTCCCACTCACCTGTATGTAACTCGCGTCCCAGGGCATATGACACCCTATTCTGGTCTCCTCAGACTCCTTCCCACATGTGGTGCACATATACGCAGGCAAACGGTCTAAATAAACATAAAATAAGACATAAATAAATAAAACATAAAATAAGAATAAATCTAAAAGTCAAAGCCCCCAGTTCCTCCAGCACCACCCACTTCTGCGCCTGTTCCCGCGCGCTTCCCAAGTGTGGCCGGGTGTCTCTGGGCCAGGTGGCAGCAGTTGTGAAACGTCCAGACCTGACTCTGGGGAACCCCCCCCCCCCCGACTTCCAGCTCTGAAGCCTCCTGGCTGCGTGGGTCACTCCTCCCCTTGCCTCAGTTTCCCCACCGGTCAGTGTAGGGGCTCGGCAGGTGACCCACCTGCACGCGGGGCCTCTCTGTCGCGGGCCGGAGGGACGCGCCTACAGGGCTCCCGGGCGCCCGCGGGAGGGCGCGGCTTGGCGGGGGGCGCGGGCGGCGCGGGGGGCGGAGACCGGCTCGGCTTCCGCTCCCTCCTCCCGCGTCGTCTTGGGCCGCGGCGCCCGAGGCGGGAGCAGGAGGCGCCGGGAGCCGTGAGGATCCACCGCCGCCGCGCGCGCCATGGAGCCCGAGTGAGCGCGCGGCGCTCCCGGCCGCCGGACGACATGGAGACGGCGCCGACTCGGGCCCCTCCGCCGCCGCCGCCGCCGCCGCTGCTGCTGCTGGCGCTGTGCTGCAGCCTGGCCCCCGCCGCGGGTAAGGTGGGCGCGCGGGGGACAATGGCCGGGGCCGCAGCAGCCACTTTGCAAGTTGCGGGCGAGTTGGAGCGCGCGCCGGGGGACCGCGCGCGGGCCCTTTGTCTCTCCCGCTGGGGCCCCTCCCCGGGGACCGAGCCCGCCAGGTGCGGCGCGGGCGGGCCCTCACCTGCCCAAGGCTCGGGGCGCGGGGCGCGCTCGGCAGGGCACCCACGGGCATCGCGGTGGCCCCGGGCAGGCCTGGTCTGTCGCGAACTACTGGGAAAACTTTTCGCGAGCCTGCTTACGGCGGCTGGCCTACCCGAGCCCTGGGAAGTGCCCGAAGTTGCAAGCTAGGAAGTTCGGAGAGCCCCGCGCGGGGCGGCCTGGCCCTGGCTGCTGTCTCTTCGACCTGCGTGGCTGTCAGCCTTCCAAACCGACCGACACCTGCCAGGTGGCCCCATGATCCCAGTGACCCCCAAACGGTGGCGCCTGGCCACCGATAACCAGTGTCCAGCCCCGGGATCGGTTGCGTGGGTGCCTTGGTGCGGGGAGGTATGATCTTGGCTCATTCGGACCCACCTTTGGAGAGGTGGCCGGCTGGGGAACGTTCTAACTTTTGGTGTGTCCTGGGGGGTGGAGTTGAGGTCAGGCGGACTCTCGAGAAACGAAGGAGTTGGAAATGCTACACATGTTCTTTTAATTCGGAGATTGCCATGTGGTTTTTAAAGCAAGCCTCTTGCCATCTAAATCATTGTTTTCGGGTGTGTTGTGTTTTGTTTTTCTGGAGTGCGGCTGTCCAAGGGTCCGGCAGATAGTCTTGAACTCCTGAATGGTGTTGATGGCAGTTTGAGGTGGGGTAGGGGGACAACTTTGGGTCCCTTTGTCTGGGCCTTATTAAGGCGAACAGCTGTCCCCCTGTGTATTTCCAGGGTAGACACTTGAGGGAGGTGGCTGGGCCTGGCTCTCTGTGTTCAGACTCCCTGGGTTGCAGTCCCTTACACCCAGGTTTTTTTGGGGGGAGCGAGGGGGCTGGCTTCCTCTAGCTCTGGAGCTTTCAGCCTCAGCCTGAGGGCTCTGAGGGAGTCTCCCCCT